CTCACACAATCCAGCCTGGTTAAACCCAGGATGGAACGTAGGCAGGCCAGCCTAAATGTTTCCAACCAGCGAAGATGCTCCATTAAGGGGGTCCACGTTTCGCAAGCGTAGAGAAGGGAGGGAATGACCGTGGCCGAGAAGACCTGAAGCTTAGTGCGGAGCGACAGACCAGGTAGCTTCCACACAGCGTTACGCAACCGATGAAAAGATATTGCCGCTCGACCGATTCAGAGTGAGACCTCTGCTGTTAAACTGGAGCCGGTCATAAGCACACTGCCCAGGTATGGGAAACTCTCCACTCTCTCCACAACTGCCCCATCACCGATTGGGAGCCGTGGGGGTGGAGTGTCCGATGGTACACGTACACACACACCAGCACACACTCACGCACATTCGATCACGATACAAAAAAAATCCCCCCAAACGAAACATCATGAACACTTGGACGCCATAAGCTTCACGCTTTGTATATTGTAGCAGTTTATACACCGACCATCATACCGACATTGGCTTTCTCCTGCCGCGGCATTACTGCACGACTAACAACAGGTCGCGACAAAGCATATACTTACTTGATAATATCGGCGTTAAGAAAAGAAGGACAAGTGGGAAGTGACGGGGACAATAACAAGACATAATAAACATGACGGGTTTTCTCATTAATAGTCGTACATTCACTTTAACATTGTTTTTTTGAAAGTCGCAGTTCAGACACGAGAAGCTTGTTCGATCCACCCTGTTTTGTAACGCGCCTACGACGACAAACCTCCTTAGCCTTACAAACTCTGGTGGGAGAGGGGCAAGTGCTGTTAGCGAGCACCTGTTAAGGCCGGTGCGACACACAAAGGGGGTGATGTGGCCAGCACCACGCCCCGGCCGCCTTTGTCTTCCCAGGACCGATGCTCACGCACCACCGCTAACTGGGGTTTCAAATGATTTTTTTGGCTGAGTCGACCTAAAGCGAGGCACCGGGACAACTTCCGGATATCGCCCGCCAGCCACTCTGATGTCAGCCGTGGTGGCCGTGAATACAACCTCGGTGGCCGGCACAATCGCAGCGCAGTGCGCTAACCACTGCGCCACCGTTCCCTCCACACACATTCACGCGCGTGCTATCAATACCACAGGCGTACACATACAACGAGCACGTGAACAATAACCAATCTGCACCATGAAACAAGAGGCACTCGTTAGCGATAACAGCATTAGAAGACTTGACGTCTCCGAGGCATGGTGCGCAGACGCAAGCATTTATAATTCCCCTGCGTTGGGATATATTTATTTTGGTGATTTCATTTTTTCTCTCCAACGTTTCAACGTTTTTTTGTACCTCTCTCTCTCTGTCGAGTTGGTTTACTGCCACACAACCCCTGAACCGACCTTTTGACGGTAAAAGCGACTGTAGTACAGGCACGGTGACATCGTTTGAGGCCATCGGCCGTTCAGATTCGACGGCGCGCGTTCCCTCTCTTACAAGGGCCGAGGGAGCCAATAGCCCAAACCCATCGCCTCTCGCGGCATTTAAGACGCCTTGCACGAACCGGCACCCGCCCAATGTCGGGTGCCGGCCCATTCCTTTGAGCTCTGCAACCTCGGTTGTAGGTCCCCCCCCCCAAAATCGCCACAACAAACTTGTTTAGGGGTGGACGCGGGGGGTGGAGGTGGTGGAGTCATTGTAGCCACCACAACAGAACGACTGGCGGGCAAAAAAAGATCGCTCTCGAAATCGGCGCGCTCGCTCGCACGCTCATCGCACGCTCATCGCCCGCGGCTGCTTTGTCCACGTCCGAGTGAACGGCGAGTCGCGCAGACGTGGACATTGGAACGGTGGGTCCGGGATCTGCGTGCGTCACGTAGCGATGACTGACGATGACGACGACGATGCTGGGTCACTGCAATTCGCCGAGCAGATCGACGCTCGAGAGTTGAGTTTAACACGTCGTAGTCGTAGTAGTAGGAGGTTTTTTTAGGGGGTTAGATCGCGTAAATATATAAATGTGTCGTTAAATCCGCCGCCGCCACCACCCGGCACAGCCAATTGGTAAGGTTTGTCACGTAAACAAAACGTGCCAATTAGTTACCGGTTCAGCACACCCGGTGCGCTGGGAGAGTAAACCCACTACGACATTTACTACAATTGTGATTTTTTTTACGCGATCTCACCCAAACACCTTCATTATGGGCTCGAGAGTTGAGTCTGTCTCGACTGTGATGAGCAACTGATCGCAGAGACGTCCATACATATATCTATATTTAAAATCGATGCCGCTGCATGCAACCAAAGTGGCGTGCAACTGATCGCACGAAGTTTAAGAGTCCCGACGGTTGTCGATTCGTGCACGTTGCAAGGAATCGGTTCTCATCAGCCGTGCAGCCACTAGACGCACTCCTTCCGTTCACAGTAACATTACAACGATTCCTTTTCACGAGTTCATCGAATTGCCGAGGGGGGGGGGGGTGGAGGCGGGTGGAGGGGTGGACGATTCTCCCCCGATGCAGTGCATCGTCAAGCTTTCCCTGGTTTTTGTCACGGTCGTTACTGTTGCGTCTTCGCCAATTCTCGAGACACGTTGCTCAGGAGGGAGGGGTCCGGCTCGTGATGTTTGGCCGATTTCTTTTGTGAGAGAGTTTCCGCGCGTGCACTGAAAACTGTCGAGTGCTGGCAAGAGGGCACGTGCCGTCTGAGAAGTCGACCCAAACATCTGTAACGATCGTCGGTCAGCGGCCTACTTGCCGTACTGTATACCTACCGGCACCTCGCCGCTTCCGAAGGTCTCCGTGTCACGTCGCACGATCTCAACGCGCACCCCCGAGTACTGGAATTTAGGCGTTCGTGATGCGAGTTTTGCTTTGTTTTGTACGATCATGTGGGCGTATTGGCGGAACACCGGTGCAGCATAACACACCGGTCCTCATAAAACTGCCTGACAATGTCGCCGTTGCCCATAAGTGAGCTGCAATACTCTCCATAAGAAGTTGCCTTATGATTCAGCAGCTGGTTTACCATTCGAAAGTGTGACATGGGTCATGACCTTTGGATGCCACCGTCCGCACAAGAAATGATTTGGAGAACGAATCGGGGAACCCTCCGACCAGGTCTAGGGCACGAGGAGTCAAATCTCGCTGCCTTTGGAACTCGGAGCCAGCCAATCGTCATCAGGCTGGGTGCTGCTATAAGGCAACAGGCTGTGAAGCTTCGCGTTCGGTTGCTCATTACCATTCATCTCGCGACTGCATCGCACATCAACACGAGAACCGACTTTGACGCACCACCCCGCGAGATGTTTCTGACCGAGGTTCGTGAATCGTGGGAAAAGAAATAATCATTGAGAAAAATGTTCTTGTCTTCATACCGCGCACCGGTGTGCCGCCAATGACGTTCGTATATCCAATTATTGAATAGCTATTGTCTCATAGGCGGGCAATGGATACGGCAAATGATCAATCGTGAAAATAATTCTCACACGCAACGGCACCGCGCGTGGATCTGTGAGTGCAGGGAATGGGGGTCGTTTTTGAGTCGCGCAAACGTGGCATGTGGACGTTCCATCGACTTTGACCGTGTCGACGAATTCTACGAGCGAGGCAAAATAATCAAATTTTTATCCATGACCCCCCCCCGCCCCCCAGATCACAGACGAACAACTCGGGAGATTTTGATTTAAAGCTTTCGTGACTGCAGTAATTCATATTCTTAGTTTTTTCGGTAAAGTCACGTTGAAGGGAAACAACAAAATAATAAAATATATATAAAACAATAAAAAATTCTCACGACGTTTCGACCATAACTCAAACGACCGTTCGAGTTATATATTTATTATTTTATTATTTTGTTGTTTCCCTTCAACGTGACTTTACCGAAAAAACTAAGAATATGAACTCGGGAGATATCATGGCGAGAAGAAGGAACATCCCACGATACCGGAAGAGGTTGAGAAACAGCTCGTAAAGGCATGGGAGTGGTGCATAATTATCACTGCGATTACATACTCTACTTCCCGGGACAGCCATCGTTAGAAAGGGGGCGACCGACGATGGGGAGTGTTGGGGATGGAGGTGAATTATGAATCGTTAATTCCCCTTTTAAACTTTGGTGGCTGAGTTGAGATAAATAATCGAAAGCTGCGTTGGCCTTCCAAAACGATTTGCGTGTTCCCTTTATTTAAACGAGTGTCGAGTGGGGGGGGTGGGGGGGGGGACCAGGATAACCTCTCCTGTAGACATCCAACAACACAGTCCGGTACTCAATTTTAACCAATCTCATTAATCAGAGAGATGATGGGCTGAGAGCTGACACCGTGGCATGTAATTACTTCCCAAAAAACGTTACCACGTGAAATCGGAAAACGCAGCCCCTATAACTAACGAACACCTAACAAGCCCCCGCGAAGCTCGTACGTGTGCTCACAAAAGCGACATTAACTCGTCAACACGTCTGCGTGTACATTTGGCATTACAAATGTGGAAGGCACTCGATGCAGCATGGCCTAAAGCTCTGTGGACAGCGGTTAGAGCCAGGACATTTACCCCTCCCTCATACCGTACCAACGGCCGGTCGTATAAAACTACCTGGAAGGGAGTCTTTACTTCTCGTAAATAATAAGCGTTAATAAATTCCATCAATTCTCGATCCACTATTGGATAAAGCTCATCCCACCCCATGTGTGTTGTTTTTTTTTATTTCACCATACTTGGTCAGCACGGGTTGATGCAGGCGGATTGAGGCACGGTTCTGATATCACTCAGTAAAGTGTAGTCGGCTGCGACCAGGAATCGAACTCGGGTCCACCGGGTTCACAGGGCGGCACGCGAACCGCCTGTGCCACACTCCACCCGGCCTGTCCTGTTTGCCGCGCTTTGAGTGACACGCGAAGATGAAATTCATTGCGCTCTGGGGTGCTTTGTACGACCGGACCGGTTACTGGTTGTCTGACAAAACAAAAAAAGCATGCGGCTCCCCAGAAGTGGCCGCAGCATTATATAGGAAATATGTCTCTTAATTTTAAAAACAGTAGCAGCATCCTCTCTCCTCTACACACACATATATATCTTCTTTATTTAAATCTCATTGTCGTGCAAATTTAGAGCGCAGGTGACGGGCTCGCAGTCTTGCCCAGGCAGGTGTAGTTGTAAATGTCATCGTCTTTTAATGACAGGCCTTTTGGAATATATTCAGCCATTTGAGGGGGTAGAGCGGTGGTGGGTGCCTGGTTGGTAGGCACAAATGCCATCCAATCACTGCATTCTGGGATTGTCCACCGAGACCGATCCAGGGCACTGCGGCTCCAAGCAGCCTTTCACAGTTTGGTATAAACAGCTTACAAACAAACAACCCCACGCATTCCATCCTGGCCGTGTTTTAATACCACAATCTCATTGCATTTTCTCGCTAAGGATTTTAGTACCCATTACCATATATATAATCACGTATACTTTTGTGTGTGTCTGTGTTTATTTTTGCAATAGAATATCCAAATTCACAGCCTTTGTTCCCGGTGTTTACTTGATGTGTTTCTGCATTGATATGCATCTCCCCAAAAAAACCAACCCCCATTAATCACACACAGTCTTGGGCTTGCGTTACATATAAGTTGGAGATGGCCTATATGTATGTTTTTATTGATGGTAGCGCACTTGAAGGGGCATATTTCGTGTGTGGCCAAAAAATCTACTTCTCAGCCAATTTTTGATGGGGGGGGGGAATATAAACATTCGTGAACTGCTCGCTCCCCCTAACCCCCCCCCCCCCAAGAAGGATTATGTAAACCGCTATTTATTTTTTAACCGACGTGTGAATGAAGCCACATCGTCTCGGCTACTTACTCAAGCAAGGTAGGGTGGGGGGGCATGTTTAATTCTGAGTTGAGGCGTTCGCTTCAATTGGAATCTCGGCATTCGCGGGAAGGTGCTCGAACGACGCGGTTGAGCGGTCGTCGTTACGCGGTCATCGGCGTTCCAGCCTCCCACAAACTTGGGCCCCCCTCCCACCCCGCCCCGCTATTACTGCACAGCCCACGTTTAAAGTGCACAAGGAAAATAATAGAAACTTTTGCTCGACCGCCTGCCTTCGCCGCCACGTGCTGAAACTATGAACCTACGCGGCGCCGCGCACGCACGCGCGCACGCACGCACGCGTGTGCGCACGCAGGAAGGAAGGAGGACCTCAGAATCCAGGCGAAGCCCTTCCCAGGCCCGGCTTGTGCTGTGTGGCCACGTGCGTCATGGCCGTCTGCAGGCCTGGTGCCGTGGGAATGCCATAGCCCATCGTTGCCGTTGGCTGCTGGAAGTGTGGGAGCCCCATGGAGGGTGGCAGGCCGTGCCACGTGCTGTGGTAAGCCGCGTGCGGTTGCGCGGTTGCCCCGTACGGCATGGGGTAGGCCGGGGACATGGGAGCCTGCAGTGGAGTGAGAGGCCTGCCGGGCTGGGTGGCGCCAGGGGCGCCCATCTGGGTCGGCACGGATAGCTTGCGCGTCATCTGGGGCGTCTGGAAAGGCACAGGGTGAACGCGCGGAACGTTAGAAGACCGTGGTGACATTCGCGTGCTGTCACGCCTTCTCCTGAAACCTGTCGTCATGGCCAAAGTTATCGATTCGTGAAAAGGTGAATTTCCAGATGGAAGGCTTCTGGTGAGTGCTTGCGAGTAGTAACATTGCAGTGTTGTAAGTGAGCTTTTGCCCTCATTCAAAACTCCGGTCATAGATTTACAAACACGCCGCCCGGTTGGCTACTCACGTCCGGCTGCTGATGCATCGGCTGCCTCTGCTGCACGCTGGGAGCGCTGACGAGCCGGCTTGCTCTCGCCCCAGCAACACCACCAGCGGCAGCTCCTCCCGGCTGCTCAGTCCTCTGCCAAACCTGCCTGGCCCCGGCAAAACTCGCCCCGCCGCCGCTGCCGCCGCTACCACCGCCCGGCATCCCGGACACCCCGGCTGCGTCGCGCGCCCAGTTGTCAAGCAGACGGTGAAAGTCGTCCGTGAAGGTCGTCTTCTTGGCGACGTTGGGCATCGTCAGCGAGCCGCTATTGCCCCCGAGGCCTACGGCAGGCAGGCTGTGCTGCCGCGACACGGGCGCCTGCGCGGCGGGCTGGCACACCTGTGGGGGGGTCATTTGCCCTGCGAGGGGCCGGTGGATGGTCGGGTCGCTCGACCAGTTGGGGATGAAGACGGCCGGGCTGGGCGCAGTGCTCAGGCTAAGCTGCGTGGGTCGCACCGGCGGACTCACCTGCGCGGAGGCCGGAGGCGGCCGGAAGCTCTGTGGGTACTGTCCCGCGTTGCCCGGCTGCTGCGGCATCTGGGCCGAGACGGTTCTGCTGGTGGCAGGATCCGTGTTGTTGTTGTTGTTATTGTTGGTGGATGTAGTGGCGTAGGATTGTGGAGCCGGCTGATTCGTTAGTACCATGCCTTGCTGCTGCTGCTGCTGAAGCTGCTGCTGTTGCTGATGTTGTTGCTGCTGATGTTGTTGCTGCTGCTGCTGCTGATGTTGTTGCTGCTGCTGCTGATGTTGTTGTTGTTGCTGCTGCTGCTGCTGATGTTGCTGCTGCTGAAGCTGCTGCTGCTGCTGCTGAAGCTGCTGCTGCTGCTGAAGCTGTTGAAGCTGCTGCTGTTGCTGCTGCTGATGCTGCACGCTCTGGCCCAGCTCGACGGCACGCTGGCCTGCCGAGTTACGAACGGAGGTGCTCTGCTGCGTTACGGGCTGGCTGGCTCTGCTCAGCACGTGAGCAGAGGCTCTGGATTCGGCCTGCTGAGCGAGCCCGGCGCCGCTCGGTTGAGAGGCGGGCTCGGCAGGCGCGGCATTGGCGGAAGGCTGCTGCTGCTGCGGACGTTCGGTTAAGTTCCTCGCAGCGGCGGGCGTCGTCGCCAAAGGTGAATCCGGGAAGCGTGGCTGCAGGCAGCCGACGACCTGAGCGATGTGCGTCGCTCCTCCCATGCCGGTCCCTGCGGTGCAAAAATTCCAGCCGTCGCTCGCGTGGGCAAACACCGCCCGGTCACCTTAACCGTCGTCACCACTCAAGCTGTTAGCCGTCACTTCTCAGTATCGATCGCCAGAAGTTTGCCCTGTGCTCGCACGGCTATGTATACGGAGTTTAGAAAACGTTCTTTCAATGTGATACTCTCTAGTAAACGGAACGAGATCGCTTCGCTCGTGCGTTGAAAAACTACCCTTGAATTAAAAATCGGACTCGTTTCTTGAACAACACGGACGGTAAATGCTTTCAAGTCCTAGCTCATACCTCATTTTGCAGTGTGTCCTGAATTGTTTTAAGTCCAATTTATAAACTTAAGGATGCTGAATTGTCAACCCTCACTTAGTGTTAAATTTTCTGCTGGGAACCTTTCAGAATAACCCAGGTGCCCCCTGGCTCGTGCTCATCTCTAATTGCCGTGTTGTTGGCCAGCGCCTCCGTAGGAAGACAACCACCACAAAGTGCTGCTCATTTTACTGAACTCGGCAGAGGGACGATTGACTGGGTCGACTGCCAGAATTTGAACTCAAAATTCGGAAGTCGGAAGTTTATTTCCCCCGTGTAAAGCCCGTTGATCTGTAGGAGCTCTTAATCCAAGGGGAGACTTCAGCCTTCCGCACAATTGGCGAACTGGGCGCTCCAGCCACGGCGATGCACAAATCTGTACGGCCCTTCACGAACCCTCGTGGGGGATTATAGCAACTGACGGTGCCGCGAGCGAAAGACAAGCAAACAAACCGGCACGAATTGAAAAGCGACGCTAAAGACCACTGTCGTCTTCCCGCGGAGCATTTTCAAGCCCCCCCCCCCCAAAAAAAACAACAAAAAACATCTTTGGAGGTAAAAACGACAAAAAACGACCGCAAGCGAGGGAGAGGCAACCGCGAGCGGCAGACGTGGCACAGCGAAATCAAGGGAAGCGGCAGTGAGGCCGGGCAGCCACGGGTACTCGAGCGCAGGCAGGTTACCCTCCCCCCTACACAGGTGGAGGTTGACTTCTATATTTGGGGGGGGGGGGGGACGAGGCAATGACACCCCATGCCCCCCCACCAAAAAAACCTCTGCCCATGCTCCCTTAAACATTTTACAGCTCCTCCTCCGCCACCTCAATGTGTGAACAATAAACTGCTGCACGGCCATCTTGGGGCAGGGGTGAGGGGCAATGAAGGAGCCAGGATTTTCAGGTAGTGGGGGCAACCCCTCCAGCAATGAAAAATTATAGGAGTTGTTAGTAAGTAAGGACTTGTCCCTTGCTTTTTATCCGACGCGTGTGCGGAGATGGTGCAGACATCAATCGAGGGCCGAATTCGAACCGCGTTGTGTGATCGCCATTGCGCTCGCTGAAGGTGTTGATGCCTTCAGGGAAGTCGTGTACTGTATACGCAACTGCGCACAATTCTGTGAGTCACTTATAACTGCTTTGCCGTTACTTATTGCCAATTATGGACTCAGACTATTGTCCTCTCATCTCAAAGATTCCCTGGCACATAATAATATGCTACACAGTGGCAGTGGGGGTCGCAAACGATACAAACACAAGCAGACGTGCAAAAATAGTGTAATTTAGGCTACGGAAAGCCCCCTCTGGTGAACACGTGGCATGTCGTCTGGCTTTTAATGGTTCCTGACGTAATCGGATTTTACCTGTGAGGAGCGGCTAACGGTCGAGACGGCGCACGTCAAAGGGTGAGCGTAACGAGGGCAGTTAATAGACAAGGGATCACACCACACCTGAGTGATCCTTTGTGCCGCTTTGGTTGCATGCAACTCGATCGCTTGTATATATATATGTGGATGTCTCCGCAACGGGTTGCCCAATCGGTTGAATAGAGACAGACTCTACGGCAGATATAGATTCTGCACACTCAGGCCACTTGCTGAGCAGACCCGTAGCATCACGTGCACATTTGCGAACTCGTGATTTGCTGTCACAATCCTGATGTGGGTGGGGGTGGGGGGAACCAGAAAAAAAGGGCGGGGCTAGGTGGTATAGGGGCGTGGCCAGACACATCCTCTTTGAGCAACTACTTGCTTAGATGTGGGCAAAGTAGTTGCACAGGCGATTAGGTTACGCGATTTTGCGAGCGATCTGGTTGCGCGACCGGTGGATCCAGCTTTGAAAGGCTGGCGCGCTTCTTGGGCCCACGCTCTCTTGGTTTTGATACTGGCACGGCGCTGGCTGGCTTTCCGATTCACCGAGATCCCTCTGCTCGGTGCCGGTTATTCACCGAGGCCTAACGCCCAAGTCACCCCAGAGTGCACCGGAAACTTCTGTGCCGCATGCGAGCGAGGGGGGCGGGGGGTCTGTGGAAACCTGAGGAAGGCTTACGTCCGATTCAAAGGTCTGCCCGATCGGGCGAGGAAACCCACAGTTCACTGATGCTAGCAATTTCCGCACAGCGAGTGAAATATAATGGTCAAATGTAGTTTTTTTGTACGCATTTTCAAGCGAAGAATGGAGTGAAGTCTGCTACCGAATTCATAAACAGGGCTCATGGTTGCTGAAAGTTCGATGCAATCGACAAAGATTTATCCTAAACAAGGGATTGAACGTTCGGCTTTTTTCTTTTTCCGCAGGTTTGTCCAGGTCCCGCGACGCCACCATCTTGTGGGGTGGCTGCCAGGGGTAAAAGGTCAAAGCTCAGAACTCAAAGTTCAGGGGTCAAGCGGGGCGGCGTGAAAGTTGAGCAGGGGGGGTGGAACGTAGGGGGCAGGCGGAGCAGGCGGGGCACGGACACAGGGTGAGCGAGATGGGTCCGCTGAGGAACCGCGGGTGAGGGCGCCCGCTGGTTTTGTACGTGACGTGATCGCCAACGCGATGGAACACGGTCCAGCCTCCGTGTCGTGCAAGCGTTGTCGGGAGAGAGGGTGAGAACGCGCACACAAAGAGACAGATCCCCCGTGTAGCCTTAGCAAACTGTTAGGGCAAGTGCTGTTCGCGAGCACACTATGAAGGCCGGCACTGTGGCATGTGAAGGGGGTGGGTGGCCAGCACCACGCCCGGCCGCCTTTGTCTCCCTAGTGGCGATGTTTACACACTGCACCAGGTACTCATTCGGTGCTGAGTCGACCTAAGAGAGGCCCAGGACCGGTACAGATAATCGTCACCGGCGTTGGCCGTGAACGGAAATCGAACCGCTCCCGCAACGCGCACACACGCACACACGCACGCCGGCTTAACGGGGGTCACAAACGGAATGGTGTACACAGTGGGTGGACAGGCGGACAGGACGGACCGACGGACAGAGCGCATTTGCCAGACGTAGGTTAATGTACAGACGGGGCAGCGTGCGCAGGACTATTGCAGACAGAGCAAGAATCACGACGCCTCCGTCATCTCTATGGAAGGCGTGCTGACCAGTGAAACTAAACTTTTTTGTATTTTACCAGGTAAGGCCCACTGAAGTCTATGGCTGTTTTTCAGAAGATACCTGGCGACAAGTGGTAACTCAAACCACGTGAACATTATAGCAGTGGCCAAACACTAACGTCTGTGTTCCTATTAGTCTATGCATCTCTATGAGTCTCTATGTATCTCTACAAGTCTCTATCTATCTCTACGAGTCTCTATGTATCTCTACGAGTCTCTATGTATCTGTACAAGTCTGTGTATCTCTACGAGTCTCTATGTATCTCTACGAGTCTCTATGTATCTCTACGAGTCTCTATGTATCTCTACGAGTCTCTATGTATCTCTACAAGTCTATATGTATCTCTACGAGTCTCTATGTATCTCTACAAGTCTCTATGTATCTCTACAAGTCTCTGTGCATCTCTACGAGTCTCTATGTATCCCTACAAGTCTCTACGTATCTCTACAAGTCTCTATGTATCTCTACGAGTCTCTACGTATCTCTACGAGTCTCTATGTATCTCTACGAGTCTCTATGTATCTCTACGAGTCTCTATGTATCTCTACGAGTCTCTATGCATCTCTACAAGTCTCCATCTATCTCTACGAGTCTCTATGTATCTCTACGAGTCTCTATGTATCTCTACGAGTCTCTACGTATCTCTACGAATTTCTACGTATCTCTACGAGTCTCTACGTATCTCTACGAGTCTCTACGTATCTCTACGAATTTCTACGTATCTCTACGAGTCTCTATGTATCTCTACGAGTCTCTATGTATCTCTACAAGTCTCTATGTATCTCTACGAGTCTCTATGTATCTCTACAAGTCTCTATGTATCTCTACGAGTCTCTATGTATCTCTATGAATCTCTACGTATCTCTACGAGTCTCTACGTATCTCTACAAGTATATATGTATCTCTACGAGTCTCTATGTATCTCTACGAATCTCTACAAATCTCTACAAGTCTCTATGTATCTCTACGAGTTTCGACGTAAATGTAGCCGGGCAACCGGGCTGACAAATCAAGACAAATTCCACAATTAAAACAAACCAACAGCGTAAAGTGGACCCGCAGTTCCAACGCAGCGTCCTGAGATTGCCCCCCCCACCCCCGCGTCGAAGACACGGCCACCAAACTAAACCCCCACGCCCCCCCCCCCCTCCACCCCCCACGTTGCTCGCTTGCGTCGGCCGAACTGCACCGGTACCTGCTATGGGCTGGCGGGGCAGCCCCTCGCCAGAGGAGCCCCCCAAGTGGAGGGTGTCCACCGACACGGAGTGCCGCACGGCTCGCCGGGGCGGCTCCGAGCTCGCGGCGGTGATGGCGCTGCTGCCGCCACCGCCGGGCTGACCCAGTGGCGGCCCCGCCTGGCCATGACCACCGGAGGGTCGCGTGCCGTCTGCAGGAAGGCGGGGGGGGGGGGGGGTCACACGAGTGGCTCAAGTCGACCGGGCCGGCCAGGTCTTCGGGGTGGGTGGGTGGGGTCGACGGTCGGCGAAGGGGCTTCGCGGTTCGAATCCGGCATGCCGTCCCGGTTAATACTTTTGGTGCCGACACAGGCGTGCCCATTAGCCGTTAGGGTACTCCACGCCATCCCCTTCGCTCGCGGCGGAACGTCAAAGATGCCGTGACGTCACTCGAAAAAGAGTGAACCAGCGAACGAAGACTGTCACCGCATCGCGCGGCGCTTTCAGATGCGCTTCTGCGGCCGCCTGGATATTCGGAAGTCACTGGGAGCTGTGCACTTTTAAATCTCGATTGAAAACTCATTTCTTTAGAACTGCTTTTGTGTTTAGTTTGCTGTCCTTACCCCGCATCTTTCGTTGAGCGCGGATGGCCAAATACGGTGCGAAAGAAGTTCAACGTACACACAATTGGCATTGCACACAGTTCTGGCCGATTGCCTGATGAAGATAGTTGCAATCACCAGCGAAACGTCATCACGGTACTCAAATTGTCAATGTCGTGGGTTTAATCTCCAACACAGCGGTGCGCTGAGCGAGTCACTTAATGGGCATATTTTGTTTACGTGACAAACCTCACTGATTGGCCGCGTCGTGTGGTGGCGGGTTTAACGACACATTTTATATATACTATGGACACAGTAACACAACGTACGGCTGATGTAGATGCGGAGCAGCAACTACAATTTCACATTCTAAACTAAACCAAACTTTTATTTTTACGAGGCAAGGCCCACTGAGCCACACGGCTCTTTCCCAGAAGCGTCCCTGGCCACAAATGACAGCTCAACCAAGTGGCTCAATGTGTGGCAATTTCAATCGGCAGCCAAATACTCCAAACGCCGCGATGTTGATTCTAAATGCGGAGGGAAAAAACGGAGGACGACGTGACCATGGGGGGAGAGAGAGAGAGACACACACAAAATACAAATATACAGCAGGCATCAGGGTCGGGATCGAACCCATGACCTCCTGCATACAGGAGCACCGCGGTAATTAGATGTTAACTGCCGCGCCTGGTATACAGGAGATCGTAGGTTCGATCCTGACTCTGATGCCTGCTGTAAATTTGGAGTCGGCGTGTTTTCCCCGTAGTCACATTCACTTTTCTCGGGGTCCTCCGGTTTTTCTCTCCACATTCATAAACATTCGTTTGGGAGCAATTGGCCGCTATAAATGTCCACGGGACAAGCCGCTTCCTCATTTGTGAAAGCCACGTTGCTTCTGAAAAAGAGCTGCATATAGCTCAGTGGGCCTTACCTGGTCAAATAAAAATATCGATTACCAGTTGATAGTTTTACATTCAGGGTGGTCAAGGTGGACAACCCTGTTCGGCGAGCGGCGAGAGTATATCTACCGTGCCCCCTGCCGTGAAACTACCGGCGGACCACGCGAGGCGCGTCGCCGCGGCGCCCTCGTACCGGGCAGGGCGTGTGCGGCGCTCGCACGGGAGGCACGGGCTATGCGGCCCTTGCTGGTCCTGCGGCGCCGCCCAGCCGGCGGGTGGAGCTGCAGCAGCAGCTGCGGCGGCGCTCGGTTCAGCCGGCGGTAGAGTTCCTCCATCTCGCGGCGCTGCGCGGCCTGCAGCTCCGCCAGCTCCTTCAGGTGTCTGGGGTGATGGCAGCGGGAGGGGGGAGGGAGGGGGGGGCAGGAGGGGGGGCAGGGGAGGGAGGGAGAGAGAAGGGGAGACATCGGGGAGACGCGGGGAGGAATAGGGGAGTGAAGGAGTTGGAGACAAGGGGAGGCATGGGTGATTACAGAGCTCTAAAAAATTGGCGATTCGTATCCACGAGACATTACCCCAGTAATTTGCAACGTGAACGCAGTTTGCCCAGGGTCACAGATGCCGTGCTCACTTTTCGCGCAGCCTGCTCAGCTCCATCTTGAGCTCGTCGTCCTCCGCCTCCTCCGAGTCGTTATCGCTGCTCCCGTACGCGGCGGCGGCGACGGCGACGTGCGACGACGCCGCTCCGCCGCCGACGCCGACGACTGGGCACACGGGCAGCGCCGACCGCAGGCACACGGCCCAGGGGGACGGCGCCTCCGCCGGCAACTCGGCGTCCGCGCTCGCCCACGCGCGCACGCCTCCGCTCGCCGCCGTCGGCTTCGCCGCCCGCCCGACGTCCGCCTCTTCCACTCCGGAGGAGACCTGCGACGACGCGGCCTCCGCCGGCGGCGCCCGCGCCGGCGCGGCCGCCGCCGGCGCCGGCGTCCGCTCGGTCTGGGGGACGGCGTGCGCTTCGAGCGCCGCTCTGCCGCTGCCGCCGCCGTCGGTTTCGCCTTGCGTGGAGGCGCGGCCAGAGGACGCGAGCGCCGGGGCCGGTGTGGCGGGAGGCCAACTCTCGACCCCCGAGTCTCGGGACGTGGCCTGCGCCGGCGAAGCTTCGTGGGCCGCCCTGCCGGAGGAGGCGAGCGAGCCCCGGTCGGTCGCCTTGGTGACGAGGAATCGGCCGAGCGTCGCGGTGGCCTCGCTCACCGACGTCGTGACCTGGAAGCGCCCGATCACCGAGTGCTTCGCCGGCGACCCCGGCACCGCCTCAGCCCGTATATCCGAGCTCCCAGAATGCATTGCGGCGGATTGAGCGGAGGTGGCGGCGGCGGCGGCGGCGGCGGCGAAGCTGCGTTTGTCGCCCGTGTCGACGCCAACGGGGCTCGCGGGAGACGACTCTCCGACGCTGTCCGAACGGGCCCTGATTAAATCCTTCGCAGACGTTAGGCAGACCTGCGGGCACGCGCGGTGGGGGGGTGGGAGGGCTTTGAAGGTGGTGGTGCGACGGCGCGTGCGTTACTGCGCAACCCTCGCGCTCGTCTTGTTAGTGTCGCGCCGTTGCGGCGTCGCGAGGAACGGGCGAGCGACGCGAGGTCACGTGCCTTGTGAACGCAGGTCGCGATGCCGTTTCAAGAGTTTGTGAGAGTTTGGTCTCGCCAACGCAGATTGCTCATGCACGTGCGTGTGTGTGTGCGTGCGTGTGTGCGTGTTATGGGTTGACGCAGACCCAGAACCCATGACACCTGGTTCTGTCCCATTACCTCCTGCCAGCGAGCCTCTGACACTCAAAGTGCACCTAGCCTGTGTTTTGATGGCTGTTGTTGTGTGCGCGTTTGTGTATGTGCTTGGGAAGCGGTGGTGTTGCGGTTAGCGATTATCTGAACCGGTCACGAGCCTCCCCTAGGTCGACTCGGCCTCAAATTAGTACCTGGTGTGGTGTGTAAACACACCGCTACTGGGGAGACAAAGGCGGCCGGGCGTGGTGCTGGCCACCCCACCCCCGTGTGTGCCGTGTTGGGCTTCACAGGTGCTGCTGTTCGCTAACAGCGCTCGCCCCAACGGCCTACTGAGGCCGCAGGGGGAATCTTTGTCTTTGCAAGCGTGCGGATTATTTTCGTTGTTGTTTCCGGCTCATACCTGGAATCTCCCTTTCTTGAAGCCCTGCTCCTTCGTCTCGCCGGGGTCCTTGCCGGGTGACGGCTGCGCCACTGAGATTCGCGAGAAACGCAGACAAACGTCGGTCGGGAGTTATGGCAGTTGCACGGCACTTGTTGCTTTTTCCCCTCCGAATTTTACATCGCAATGGCCTGCGACCAAATCACCCGGCTATGCCCCCCGCCCTGCCCCTAGCAGCTAAGCAGAGTTGAGCCATGAAGGTGCTCGGATTGGTGACCACCACACGCAAGCAGGCGGTCATGGGGCTTCCGAGCTACTTGGCGGGCAGCAGAGGGGAACAGTGCAGATTTGCATCTCGCTATGCTCCCGTGTTTGAAGCACCGCAGGTAGCGAGATGTTAACTACGTCGCCTTGTTTGCAGTAGACCGTGGGTTTGATCCAGAGCCTGACGCCTGCTGTATATTTTGGAGTTTGAAAGTTCTCCCCGTGGTCGCGTGGATTTTTCTCTGGGTCCTCCGGTTTCACCCTCCACATTTAGAATCAACGTCACGCGTTTTAGAGTATTTGGCTGCTATAAATTTCCGCACAATAAACTACTTTGTTGAGCTATTATTTTTGGCCTGGTGGCTTCTGAAAAAATAATACAGCTCAATGGGCCTTAACAGGTCAAGTAATTTTTTTAAATATATATTCTCCCTGACTCTACCACCCTGCACTGAGCGGTGTGGCAAAGTACGGTCGGATAATCCCCGGCACGACCCCGCACACACTGCGAGCCTGAGCGACCGTCATTATCAAGCGGCGGATCGACAAAGCGCCGCACGGTCACGCGAACCGAGTTTGGGTCAAATCCATATTGTGCCGGGCCACGGCGGCCAAGCTGCTGCACGTGGCCGCCCGTAAGTCCAGCGCTGCTGTGGAGGCGGCAGCGGGGGTTGTTGGATCACCGCACACACAGAGAGACGTTGCGAGATTCCCTTCCCGTCAGCGTCGAGGAGGAGCCCGTGACCCTGGCTCGCCAGGAGAAGGCGGTACGGCAAAATAAATGTGGACTCCCCCTGTTCCGTCTGTGTGGGATCGAGCGTTTCCCTCTCGCACTCGTGGGATTTCTCCTGGGTGCTCCGATTTCCTCCCTCGTGCTTCTGAGTCGTCCTCTCGCTTTGAGAGCGAGCGAATACGGTGCAGCGGTGGTGGGTTACAAGTTTAAATTATATTATTATTACATGGAATGATCCACCTTCAGCGCGGGGGTGGCGGCGGCGGTGGTGGCGATGGCGGTAGTGGTGGCAGCGGTGGCGGGGGTGGTGGCAGTGGTGGCGGTGGTGGTGGTGGTGGCAGTGGTGGTGGTGGTGGTGGTGAACGCGGTGGTCGTGGCGGTGGCAGTGGTGATAGTGGTGGCGGTGGTGGTGTCCACCTTCCTTACCAATGCTCAATGGGAGCGACGCGGGTGGAGTGTTGCACCGGTCACTCCCTCGCTCCGAGTCTTGACTCTGAACCACACAAGATGGTTACACCCACAGGTCAAGTCAAGGGCCACCCCCTGCGTCGTGCGAGGATCACGCGAGCCCGTAGCGGAACGTGAATCAAATGCGATCGTTTCTCGCGCACAATTTGATACACGTTGTCATAAGCGGACAAATACATTTCAGGTGACAAATTGGTGTGTGGTGTCGATCCTTCGCTCTTAACCGGCGACCGGGAAACTATTCAGTGAGATTATTATTTTTTAACTGTAACTAGGAAAGCCGCATTATGTCTAGTGACTGTTTTCAGGAGAGTTTCCTTCCCAGTTTTCAGAGTCGAGGGTGATCGTGACATCAATTCCAACTGAACGCATTTTCAAGTTTGGCGAATTTGCTAAATTATTTCTCTCTTGCGGATGGCGCCACGGAATCTTTAACGTCCGCCGTGAAGCAGACGACGCATAGTCTCATTGTGGCTATTACACCACGCGGTATTAACCGGGGCGGCTGGTGGATTCGAACCGTGAATCGAGCGCCAATCACGCTACCGCTGGACCACTACACCGCAAAATGAAGACCTGCCGTGGTGTCATGGTTAGCGGCAGTTGAAACAACGGGGCTGAGTTGCTTAAACCCCCTCCGACTCTGTCCACCCAGCATAATAACTGGGTATAGCCGCAGTTGATCTGTAGGTCGCCCGTGGTGGGGTAAAGTGTGGGTACTCGCACGTCTTCCAACACGTCTGGTGAACCGTGTGGAAGAGTCGGCCGAATCCCGTCTCGAGTTCGCCCTCATGGAGGCCTTTCCTCCGGCAGTGCGACGAGCGAGCGACAGGCCGGCTGTGCTTCCACCTCATTAAAAACACACAAAACGACGACCGTCTTCCACCTCCGGCGCTCACCGGCATGCGCGACACCCCCGGCCGGCGCTGCTTGGGGCTGCCGAGGACCGCCAGCGCCAGCGGCGCGACCACTCCCTCCGCCCGGCGGCGTGGGCTCGCCGGCGAGCCCACGCCGCCGGGCGGCCCCGCGGGGCCGGGCGCCGGGGACGACGGGGAGACGACGGACGAGGCCCGGGCGGGCGACGCCACGTGGCCGGGAGAGGCGGCGCCGTCCGAGTGCTCGCCGCCGCACACGTGCTGCTCCTGGAAGAGGCAGCGCAGCTTCTCGTCCAGCGAGCGGATGTCGTCGTTGGCGAGGCTCCCGGCCCCTCGCGCCGGGCCCTCCCCGTCGGCGTCGCCCGACGCGGGAGAGAAGGCGCCGCCGCCGCCGCCGCCGCCGGGCGTCGTGGCGGTGCTGGCGGAAGCCGTGGCCGGGGCCGGGCCCGCTGACGACGGGGCCGCGGGCGGCGACGTCGCCTCGGCCGCCGTCGGCGCCGCGGCCGCGAGAGGGGACGGGTCCGTGGCGAGGGCGCGACGTGGGGGCGTCGATGCGCCCTGCTGCTCCCACGCTCCTCCTGTGTGGACGCACAGGAAGCCGTGCGCAGGTCAAGCCGCAGCTGTGGATGTTTCTCACTCACTCAGGGAATGGAGCGGTGGCGCAGTGTTTAGCTCCTTGGGTAGCGGGCGAGGCTCCCTGGTTAGTGGACGGGGCTGGCAGGAGTAGGCGCGGCCTACGAGCAATCGGCAGGGGCCTATTGCTCTGGGCTGGGCTGTGTAAACGGAAGGCAGGTCGGGTTGAGCCTCCCTCAACATTCGGTGGCCTGAATCGCGAGCTGACCGAGCCGGCGGGCAAACCTGGCTCACGCTGCCCGGCGGGTTTCCGTGTGCGTCCCCGTCTCACCGGGCCGGGCGGCCGTTCCGGACGCCGGAGCGTCCGTCCGCTCCTCGGCCGTTGGCGTCGTCGCCGCCGGTTCCACCACGGGGCTCACGAAGAAGCGGCGGCCCCCGGCGTGCACCACCATCGTGTCCGCATTGGCACCTGCGGCGAGAATCCGGCAGACGCCATCGAGCTCCCGCGCAAGCCAGCGCCGCTCTCACTTTACCGGCCGCGAAGGCGTAAAGAGCCGAACTGCGTGCAGGGTCTGATCGGTGACATTCTTTACCTGGCGCTGGAGCTCTGTCCTGTTCGGAATCCTGTACGAAAGAAAAGACAGCCGGGTTCAGGTACAGAAGCGCAACCCCTCTCTTGTGTGACCGATATTTCTTTATATATTTTTTTTAACAACCACAACAACAACAACAGCAGCAGCTACTGGATAATTCAGGACCAGGGTACACAGTGTCCGTGTGCATACAAACGTCTCAGGTAATGGCAGAAGGAAAAGCAAAAACAGTGATGGGTAGAAAATGGAGATGGGATCAAAGGGTCGACAAAAGGAGACCGGGGCCATCCGTTTCAGTACGGCGCATTCACGTGGCGTGCGAGGCCGAGACACCGCGAGTCCGAGCGGAGACACTGAGAGTCCGAACAGAGACACCGCGAGTCCGAACAGAGACACCGAGAGTCCGAGCAGAGACACCGAGAGTCCGAGCAGAGACACCGAGAGTCCGAGCAGAGACACCGAGAGTCCGAGCAGAGACACCGAGAGTCCGAGCAGAGACACCGCGAGTCCGAGCAGAGACACCGCGAGTCCGAGCAGAGACGCCGAGAGTCCGAGCAGAGACACCGTCTGTGCGTGGTGCACTATCGTGCGGTGCGCCGACCTTGCACCCGCCCACCTCCGCTCCGCCCCTCGCTGCGGAGCTAGCGGCGGATCCCTGGCCGATCCCCGAGTCTCCGAGCATCACGGCGGCGCGCTCGATGATGTCCCGGATCTGCTCCACGAAAGCCTCGAGCTCGTTCTTCAGGATGAAGTCGTTTTCCACCTGGGGTGGGGGTTGGGGGGGTGGGGGGTTGGCCGGGGGTGGGGTGGTCCCACAAGGTCGAGAGTTGAAATGTAACGGTCGGTGTGAAGCTCGCCGCCTCCCGAGATCCAAACTAAACTATAAACATTGTTTTTAATGTTTATAGATATACACAAACACTCTAAACGCGCGATGCCGATTCTAAATGCGGAGGGAAAAAGCAGAGAGTTGGAGAGTAAACCAACGTGCACTCACCAGCGGTGATGACATATGGTCAAACAACCCCCCCGCCCTTAACGTAACCCGTGACCCGTGACCCCTATAACCTGTGGCGAAAGACCTGTAACCAGTGATCTGTGACACGTGACCTGTAACATGTGACCCATGACCTGTAACCTGTGGCCTGTGATCCCGTGACCTGTCTACTGTGACCCGTGCGACAACGTGGGGAGGCAGCTCTAACCCAGCCGTGGATCAATCGATTGATCGATCGCGCAAGGCAGCGGCGACGGTGACTACGACGATCGATGCGGCGAACTGCGCGCACGTACCATGTGGTGGGCGATGTCCTCGGGCACGTCTCCGTCCAGGTCAAACTTGAAGGTCACCTTCTTGTGGTTGTGCGTCTCCATTTGGCACTCCACCTCCTTGTCGCCGCTGTTGGACACCTGCAACGGTCCCGCGACTGCTCAGCCGCTGTCTGAAGCCGCCGCTCGCCGGCACTCGCTGGGTTATAATGCTTGTTTTTTTAGACACTGGCGTTAAAACGTTTCAATTTGTTTAAGTTGGTGTTTTATCCATTGCCGTCGTTAATATCTAACTTTTCTCTCCTTCATTTCCGGACAATGCATGAGAATGGGAAGGAAACCGAGCGCATCGAGACGAAAACGCAATTGATGAGCGTTGAAAGGTCACACCTGTCATCTGACAAAAAGAAATTGCGTCATGAATTAATTTCAAAAGAGAATTCACGCACGCCTTCACGTGAATGGGAGTCCGTTTAGACCGCCGGTGACCTCCCCAACAAGTGCTGCTCGTTTTAATCAACTCGGAAAGGGACGACAAGCCAAGTCAACCCCCGAGCGTTAACGCGCGGCAGACGTCGACCCGCTCGTTCGCTCCCTCGCTCGCTCCGCCGCCGCTTTGCGACTGGGGGCTCAGACCCGCGGCCGGCGGTGCCGTGGGATGGTCGGCCCCTTGGGGACTGCCCCCCGTCCCCTACCCCCCCCCACCCCCCCACCCCCCACCCCCATCGACTTTGGACTCACGGAGAGGATCTGGAGCTTGGGCCGCGGCGTCTTGTCGTGGCGTGAGCGGGTTCGCGTGGGGCGCCGGCGTGGCCTGCGGGTCGCCCTCCTGTCCTCGTCGCCGCCCGGGGGCCACTCGTAGCCGTCGCTCATCTCCACGCCCGATGCCGCGTCTGAGTGCGTGCTGCACCCCCCACCCACAAAGACAAAGGTCCCCCGCATAGCCTTTAACAGACTGTTTGGGCAAACGCTGTTAACTAGCACCAACGAAGGCCGGCACGGCACACGAAGGGGGTGGGTGGCCAACACCAACGCCCGGCCGCCTTTGTCTCCCTTGTGGCGATGTTTGCACAGCGCACCAGGTACTCATTTGAGGCTGAGTCGACCTAGGGGAGGCTCAGGACCGGTTCAGATAATCGTCACCGGTATAGGCCGTGAGCGGGAATCGAACTCGGGTGGCAGGGTTCGAAGCGCGGTTGTGCTAACCACTGCGCGAACGCTGCCCACTCTACGTACCCATACTAGGCATTCTAATAGTACCCTACTGCGCTGATGAAACAGATGTGGTAGTTATATCGAAGTCACGCAGGAGCTTGTCCATCGCACGGAATCCAACCGGGGAGCGAATGTCCGCGTCCCCCCCCTCCCCCCCCCCGGGGATGGGGCCCGTGCCGCTGCAGGCCTCACCTGTCGAACGAGGGGAAGAGCTGCATGTGCTGGAGAACGGGGATCGTTTCGCTGAAGCTCCGCACCCGGGTCTGAAAAGTAACGACGGGGCAAAGCGGAGCTCGCTTAATGGCGCGTCGCGGAGAGCGCCGCGGACGGACGCGCGGCACGACGGTACCCGACAACGCCCTCGCTGGACACCGGTAAATTGCGCTCGCTTCAGTTGGCGGCCGACGTTCCGAAGTGGACCGCTACCCTCTAGGGGATGGCGCCGCTCCCCCCAAGGTCGCCCCCCCCGCCCACCCCCACCCGCTGTGATCCGTGGATGAAACAAATCGCTCGAGACCCCGGTGTACGTCAGCCAAGAGCAGGCTACGTGAACGCCGTCGCGAGAGGTCACGCACGTTTGGCGCAACGGCGACCTGCTCGCTGAGTGTGCGTGCGACGAATGGATGTTAGACAGAGCGTCGTCGCTCATCGGATTTCTGCGTTCATCTTTTGACGGATGCGGCCGCGCCACGGACGTGGAATTCTCTACCGTTGGAAATCCGGTCATCCGACAACGTGGACACTTTTAAGTCTCGTTTTAAGCCGCATCTTCTTAAGTCACTTCATCCTATTTAGCTTCGTCTCTCTTGGCCTTTCCTTAATCTTACAAGGCGCCCTGAGACATTAGTCGAAGGCACCTTAAAAATAAATGTAAATTATTATTGACGGTAGTTTTTGTAACGCATTTGCTGAGCATCGGACCAAGCAGGCCCAAAACGTTCAGCGGCCAGCAAAAAACGGCACCGTCGAAATTGCGATTGATGAGAGTGTGTCGCTTTGGAGGGAATCCAAAGTGGAGCAGTGCAGATCGATCGTAAAGAAAACTTTCTTGAAATCCGGACTCTAATTGTGACTTCTATCATTATTATGTTGAGCAATGTTTGTGAAATCTTAAGAAACGATATCACCAATGTGGATATCTTTTGTTTATTAAGTTTTTGAGCCAGCTGGTGAGGATTGAGCAAAATCTTTCCAGTTGCCTGGGTGAATAACATATTTAAAAAAATCACAGTCAAGAGACAAACAACATATATACACTCTTAAAAATAATTTAAATAAAAAAACCCCCTAAAATATCCTCACATGATCTGTTTACCTATACATTCATATATTTCCACCTCATCTCGACAATAGACACCGATATTAGGAAGCCGCTGGAGCTATGCACTTTTACATCACCTACATATAAAACTCCACGTCTTTAGAACTTATTTTGATGTTTCGTTTGTTGTCGATCCCACCGCACCGCCGACAAGCGCGACTGGCTGTATACGGCGCGAACGAAGTGCAACACGCGTGCATGGACGCCGTGCGTACCTCCTGCATTGCCGGCGACCAACTTGGTGGCGACGTGAGGCCATCGGCCAGCGCGCCGGCGGGCGGAGGGGACGTGAGCTCCTGGGCCCCTGCGCTCCGCTCCGTCGCCAAGGTTTCCGAGGCATCCACCGGGCCGCAAGGCTGCTGCTTGCAGATCCAGTGGTCCAAGAAAATAGGAACGCCGGCCGCAGTCTGTGAGCTACACCGAGGTACTGCCGGCGTCGACCTACGCTCGGTGTTGACTAGGATCGCCGCGATGTAACGTTTCACGATGAGATGCGACGTCAAATTGCACGGCGGGGCGGCGATCGCGACAGCAGATTCCCGTGACGTCATAACTGCACCTCACATATTTACCGAATGGCTTTTTTACTTCGCTGTACCTCCGGTCCGAATAAAGATTCCTTCACGGTTCTTCAACCGCAGTTCACGTAAGTCCATCACAAGCCTGCTTATTATTGCTCATAACACTCGCGCACATAAGAGGTTTTTTTGGGTAAGATCGCGTAAATATATAAATGTGTCATTAAATCCGCCACCACCCGACACAGCCAACCAGTAAGGGTTGTCACGTAAACAGAACGTGCCAATTCGTGACTAGTACAGCACTAACCGGTGTGTTGGAGAGCCAAGCCATAACATTTACAATCTGAGTACGACGTTTCGCCAGTAATTAAAGCTTCATCAGGTGAGGGCCAGATTTGTGGAGATTGTGCAGAAGTCTATCTGTTTCGTTCCTTATATATACACGCGCAGTCACTTACGATTCACTACGGCTATGATACTTTACTTTGTGACCAATGATCCATGTTTTCCTCTGAAATGTATGACCCGACTGCGACCGTAGTAGGCCTGCCAGGCTCAAGGCAAAAAAAACCTAACCTCCAGAGCATTTTTTTCCCACAAATCGAGGCCCCCTGGTCCAGACACAGCCCCGGCGCGGTCTGCCGCCGTGCTGCAGAAGTCTCGCGCCGCTGCATCCACGGAGGGATGGCCTCACCTGCTGCACGGCCTGCGGAGGGGTCGTGTCAAAGACGGCCGGAAGCTCCTCCTGCGATGGGCTCGGCAAAGACTGTTCCGACTACAGTGGGAGAGAGGGGAAAAGCAGTAAGTTATGGCGAACGGGGGCGGAACGCCCACAACGCACTCGTGCCACGTGATAGCGGAGGGGGGGTATGGGGGCTAGGTCCCCATCTAGAACCCCCTCCTTGCCCAGCCACCCCCCCCCCCCCCCGTACTACGGGGCTGATGGAGACACCGTGCAACAGACCGATGAATAAACGTGAAACGAAGGGCGCCATGCGTTGTGAGGTGGCCCAACGGATGCCTGAATTTGGAGGCGATGTGCAGCGAGGGCAAAGGTCGTGGCCCTTGATGTGGCACTAAAGAGACGTGGAAACCCCGCCCCCCCAAACCCTATTATTTTTCATGTCTGTGACGATAGTGGCTCCCCTATTTGCTGCAGGCTTCGACAACACACAACACACGATATTGACCGCCCGCGTGCATACCGTACGCACGCGGGTGGTCAATATCGACTCTTTGCCGGTAAGGTGGCTGGGCGGCAGTCACCTTGCGTCCTCATGGGCCAAGTGGCACATGGGAGGCCTGGCGCAGCAGAACCTGCTCAGTGCGATTTACGTGTCGTTGCATTTGACGGACATTCGAAATAAATGTGGGTTGCCGTAGATCTGGAGCCTCCCGCCCCACTCCCTGCTCGTCTTTTAATTTCGAACGTGTAGCGTTTGTCGAACAACGAGCCCCGTGCAATGCTTTTTGTTGTTTTGCGGCCCAGCAACAACCCCCACAGATGTCACTGATGGGCATATCCTGCAGCCTGGGTCGGCTATCCCAGAGAATATTAGAATCGGTGATCTCTGTGGGTGCTGCCAAGGCCTAAAACTAAACAAATAAAATGCCACCTTTTACGTAAAAGAAATACATCTCACACTTAGCACCGAGGCTTTAGGGAATGACCCGCCATGGTCTGTAGCAATAATAATAATCATCGTCGAGAAACAGGGAAACGACTCTGACACGTTGGTTGAATCCATGCTTCGGATCAACGCGAAGGCTCCCGTGAAGAACGCAATGCTGGGGGCAGGGTCAGAGCCACCACAGCTGGTTTTGCGCACGTGGTTTGCGGAGCACGTGGACTCGGTCACGCAAGCATAATCAAGGACACACGCAAGCGTGCACGAGCGCGCTGCGTGTGTTTCGAATTTATTTATCGGTTCGTTGCACCGCGCACGCTTTCTTGTTTCGCGAGAACACCTGGAGGACCGCGGAGGGGAATGCTGGCGAAGTCAGCAGCTGCTGCTGCAGACGGAGAGGAGGTCTGGCATCGGCGAAGCCAAGCGCGACTTCGTATTCCTGCCCGAGGGGCGCGACGACGGGCGACGGCCAGCCCTCGAGCGAGCTGCACGTCGCATTTTCCAACGAGCAGAGCGAGCCGACGTCGCTGGACTTGCGTGACGGAGTCGAGGAGAAGAAGGGGAAGGCCGACTGAGCGCCGCCACTGCCGCCGCCTTGAAGGGGGGGTGCCGACTGGGGCACGGTGGGAGGCGCGCGGCCCACTGGGGGCCCTGGCCGCGCCGGCGGCCGCGCGTCAAAGCCCGGTGTGAGGGCGGGGAAGCAAAAGTCAAAAGACGCTGTCGGCATCACGGAGGGCATCACCGCGGCTCCGTGCTGTCCGTAGAAAGCCTCCTGCTGCGGGGCGCCCGCCAGGTCGGATCGGAAGCCGTAGTCCGGCCGCTGCCAGTCGGGAGACGGGCACGGGGCACTGTGCCCGCCGTCCTGCTGCCTCAACTGCAGGAGCTGCTGGCTGCATTGGTGGCTGTAAAACTGTTCCGGCGAGGGGCGGAAGTCCGGCGGCGGCGGCGGCGGCTGCTGCTGGACGCCACCGGGTCCAGTTGGCCGCTGGGGAGAGCCGGGGAAGGCGAGGAGAGGCGGCTGCGGTGACACGGCCTGCGGGCTGTAGCCGCCGTACCAGCCAAGGGGCGGTGGAGGCGTTGCGGGCCGTGACGGTTGCTGCTGCTGCTGCTGCTGGTGGTGATGCGACATCACGTGGGCGTGCGGTGCCACGCCGTGCCGAAACGGCAGGAGCACCTGACCGGCGGCGGACTCCCCGGGAGAAGCGCCGGCGTACATTTCCGCGGAGTGTGAATCTTCGCTCGACGTGCGGCACTCGGCGACGGCCAGGTGGGATTCCCCGCTGGAGCTGCGTTCCATTTGCCCGCCGGAGCCCGCTCGGCTTAGAGCCGGCGCGAAGGATAAACCGTCGGCCGATGACTCGCCCTGCCCCGACCGCGGCGGCGGGTACGAGAACCGGGCGAGGTTGCTCGGCCCGGCCCAGTGGTGGACGTGGCGCGGCAGGGCCTCGGTGAGAGAGCCGCCCGCGCCGGCGTGGCGGTGGTAGAAAAAGCCGGGGGGAGGGCTGGTGGGGGAGTTCAGATGGAATGGAGAGCGGGGCGGCCCGGCGCTCGGCCGTTCGGGAATGGAGCTGAACGAGAGAGCGGCGCCGTCGCCCGCGTAATGTGCGGCGACCGGCAGGTGTCTGGTCTGTGTCGACAAGAGAGAACGGGACAACGCTCAAGGGGCGGCACAGACGGCGCACACGGAGATCACGAGGGCGACCGAACGCACGCACGCACGCACGCAACGGGAGATGGGAGAAGATGCAAAACACTGGTGGATGGGGAGCACGAAGGTCCACGGACGTTTACAGCAAACAGAACACGAGCGGGAGGCGAGGTCGCGTGCGTCGTGCGCTCCCGCGCGCGCCGAGCTCTGCAGTTCGGCGGCGCCGCGAGGCCGGAGCCTCCGGGAGGCAGGGGCCGTGAGCCATGCTGCGCGTGCGGGGCACCGCGTGCGCCATGCGTGTCGCGCGAGAGATCAAAGCGGGGGAGGGCACTGACGTCGGTGGCCCCGGTGGGTTTTGTTGCGCGCTTCACTGCCACGCGGCTCGCCAGCTCAAAACCCCCCGACAGCGTCGCCCGGCTACCGGCGGCGGTGAAGCCTTCCTAAGACGTTCGCGAAGGATCGCTTAGTCCCGGACGATGTTCCGGTTCTTTACTTCGAAACGGCTGCACTTGTCGCAGTGCCCACCGAGCTGCTAGCCCTCGCTCAGTCAGAGGCAAACTGGCCGCACGTGATAGCTCATCAAGGTGGCTTTATCGTCACGTGTGGGAATTTACAGCGATAGCCGAATATAATCTAAAGGCGTGTTTCTAAATTTGGGGAGGTGAGGGTGGGGCAAAAATCGGAGGAACCCGGAGAAAAATCCACGCGACCACCACGGGGAGAGAGAATGTCGTCAGGGTCCGGGAACGACCCCGTGACCTCCTGCGTACTAGGCGAGGGAGATAGCATATCGCCACCCCTACTGCAGACTCCTACCCGTCTGCGAAACACACCGCCCGTGTGATAGCCTTGCAGCTGTAGGAATGGCGCCAATACCAAATGCACTGCGCTTAGGACATGATTCGTGCATCATCATCTGCCCCGATGGTCCTGTCGTTGGTTATTGAGAGCAATGTGTGGGTATGACATTGAGCGTTGAATCAAAATGTTTTACATTGGAGCATTTGTGTGTGTATGCATAGAAAAATATGCATACACATCCATATGTATATATAGCATTGTATATACATATGTACACATAAACATGGCAAACTGCGCGACGTCTAATGAGCGTGGAGCGGTGCTTGTCTGCTTTGTACTGCCCTGAGTTAGTGGTGTAAATTCCACATTCCTATGGTGGGGGGCCGGTTATTATCCATATAACAGCTACTGCATTATACAATCACGATATAATGAATTAAATAACTGGTAAGCATGCAGTGATCTACCTCCCTGATGAGTGAATCGTCCAATTCATTGTCTCGCATTAGTTAAGAGAATATACCTTTCTGGCATTGTTTGTATGACATGCGTCACACAATCTGTGTTGTTTGCTCAATTAGTCTAGAGAAATATTAGCATTTAATTTTGCGTCACGCGCATTTCATTGATTCTTAAAAGCGCAATTGTGCGCATGTACCATGACGATTTTAATTAATTTCATTTGAAGAATTGCTCATCAATTAGTCTCATTTCCAGTGGTAGTGTGGAAATGCACGGGCGCTCGTTCCGCCGGTGTCGCTCTCCGCACGGCGTGGTCGCCGCGCTGTCTGCGATGGCGCAACGGAACGTCTATGACCACTGGCTGTCAGCGCAGGTGGCCAGCCGGGCATGTCCCTACCCTCGATTAGCGTCCACACAACAGGCTTAAAGGGAAACCAGGGTCAGGTGTTTAAACGGCGTCATCCCTCGTGCTCCGGGCCAGCACCGCCCCCGCTCGCCTCGGTCTCGGGTCTCTAACGGCGGACGTACGGCGGAGAGAGCGAGCGCGGGGAGGCTGTACCGCCGACCGCGCGGCACCGGCGAGTCGCACCACGAGCCCGGCCCCGAGGGGCCTCCGCTAGTGGCGCCGCTGGCGCCGCCGCTGCGCATGGGCAGCAGGAGGTCGAGCGCTCGCGCCAGGTCCTCTGTGAGCGAGAGGCGGCGCCCGCCGGGGGTCCGAGCGTGGAGGGGGGCTGCCGCTGCTGCGGCAACGGCGGTGCCAGGGTGAAGATGATGATGATAATGATGATGATGGGGAGGAGGTTGTGGCGATGGAGGGGATGGGAAGTACGGCAGCTGGTGGAGGGGGAGCAGGGGGGATGGGCAGGGGGGCGGGGAGGGAGAGCGAGGGCTCGACGGTCGGCTGGCCGCGCCGGGGCGGAGGAGGCACACGGAGAGGCTGTGTCGACGCTGAGGCTGAGGAGCGGGAATGGGGAATGAGGGGGGGGGGGGGAGGAGGGGAAGAGGAGGAGGAGAGATAGGAGGAGGGACGAGACAAGAGGCGAGGAGGGATCGAAGCGGAGAGAGAATGCAGAGTGAAGAGTGGTGAGAGAGTTGGAAAGCGTGGAAGTAGAGGAGGTGCGGGAGGAGAAAGGCGAGGTGATGAAAACAGAGACGGAGGGAGGGGAGAGAGAGGGGAAGGGAAATGCAGGTGGGAGACAGGGAATGGAGGGAGACACAAGAGGGACGGGACAGGGAAGGACAAACACAACAGAGGCACACCAGGCAGACGGGAGCGCCACTGGTGAACTCAAGAGACTCGGAGAGCTACAATCGCATCGCCCGCAAGCGTTAACGCTGAGCTAACCACCTTGCATGACGTGACTGTTAAAGGTAACGCCATGGCCGTGGATACGGTTAGTTGTTGCGCGGACGTTAACTGATCGTAAAGGACGTGTCGGGTCGAGGTGGACCGATGCTCAATCATGAAACTCTGCAGGTTGAGTTTCACGATGCGTTGAATTTTGCCAAAACGCATCGTCTTGGCAATGCCCCAGAGTTAGCGACGGAGGCGTTGGCGCATTTTCGACAAAGTGTCGAACAGAATGAAGATTTGCCGGCACTTTAATCGCCCCGTTTATATATTCTGTGCTGGTACCAAGTGTCCGCATTTTGCGAGTGTGCATTCGTTATTTTCGTTTTGCCGTCTAATGGAAACTACGCTGCGAAACCACCGCCCCCCGGGGGTTTTCGCGATGGTGCCACGCAGCTCTCCGACGTGTTTTTTTTGGGGAGGGGGGTTTCTTAAAGAAGCTCCCATCGCACGTGGGGCGAAACGTCGGACATCGTGCCGAAAAACACGCGGCGCGACCCGAAAACGCGTCGGAGAGCAATTTTTTGGCCGGGTCAAAAGCGGTGGAATTTGGGAAGAAGATAAAAGCTGCCACCCCCGAAATTTTGAGCCACGGTCACGACAAAGAGGCGGGCAGACGAATCGCAAACCAAGCGTCGGGTGAGGGGTGGGGAAGATGGGAAGGACGCGAGGTTCTCAGGGAAAGGAAGGGGGCGCCCGCAAGGAGGCGGACGCCACTCATCCAGAGCCGTCGATCGTGACGTTTCACCCCTCTTCCGTCTTCTGTGCGCGATCGTCCATTCTCCTTCTTCTCCTTCGGGTGGGTCTTCATTCCTCGGTGTTAGTCGGCGGCGGCTGGGCGGTTGGCCGAGTTCGTACATTTGGTTTGTTTGGTTTGGTTGTTGGAGGTTGTCATTAGTTGCGGGGTTAAAGCGCTCTCAAGGGGGAGTCGTCGCAGGTGGGATTAGCGAGAAGCACTGTGGGTGGGATTGACCGCGGTGAGTCAAGCGATCAAGCGGCCAAGCGGTCTCGTGACGTGCAGGTTACGCAAGCCGGGCACACGCGGTACACAAACGACAACCTCGCAGCAACAACAACAACAGCACATTCAACGGCAGAGGATAAACAAGTTTCAAAATGTAGTGTAAATTCCACAATTACTTTGACATGTAGGCTTTCCGACCAATATTATCCATAACAGAGGTTTTTGGTTTGGATCGCGTGAATATATAAATGCGTCGTTAATCCCGCCACCACCCGTCACAGCCAATTAGTAAGGTTTGTCATGAAAACAGAACATGCCAATTCGTTACTCGTACAGCACACCAGCGTGTTGGAGAGTAAACCCACTACAACATTTACAATTGGATTACGACGTTGTGCCAGTAATTACAACCAGCATCATCAGGGGGACAGCCAGATTTGTAGAGAAATCCTCCTCCTGCTTCGTCCTTAAATAGAGCGATAGATGTGATGTCGTTACTTGTGAGCCAATCACGTGTGAAGGCCAGAGGCGGGTGGGGGGGGGGGGGTTAATGTCTGCATATAAATGACAATGGATAGCCATTACCAGTTGTCAAAGGATATTTTTACACGATCTAACACAAAAACCTCGATCATGGATACAATTCCACAGTTGTTTAATGATATATCGAAGCATCTCGACGAGCAAAGTCATTCCAAAAATATAAATGCACACTTCGTTAAAGTAAACTCTTCGGCATACTACCTGAACTGGTTGTCGTGTCACCACAGTGGCGGTTCTAACGTACGGTGGTGTCACGTGACATGCGAGGCATCGTGGGAGAGACCGACACTATGGTCACAATCCCAACTTCACCTGTCAGAAATCACGCGTGTGCGCGTAATATTACTCCTCTCATTATTTGTTTGCAGCCCGCACACACTATTACGTCCACGCGAGTTTCTCATCGTTTGCAGAAAGTGTTAAAAACTTGGTTCATCGTCGCCCTGAGGCGCGGCCAAACTGTCCCCGGTGATCGGGGAGAGGGCCCGTCGAAACGAAGCCCCCAAGGCACAAGGCAACAGGAGGCAACGACGGCTACGCTGCACTGGCGATTCCTAACAAGGGTGAAGCCGTTAAGACGGTTAAGGTGTGGTGTCTAAAATAATACCACCACTGCTCATAGGGCCAACTTACTCTGCAGGTAGCCCCGCCCACTACTCGTATAGCCCCGCCCACTACTCTGGTAGCCCTGCCCACTGTCCAGGTAGCCCCGCCCACTACTCACATAGCCGAGCACAGCGGTTCCCAACCTTTTGAACCTCCAAACATTTTGCGGGCCACCACGTGCTCATATCCGTTTTGAAATTGTACATTTCCTTGGCGAGGAAATTATTACTGTTAAATATATATTTTTTTCGCGGATCCCCCCCCCCTCGCGGAGCACCAGGGGTCCCCGGACCAAAGGTTGGGAAGCGCCGACCGACCATCACATCGCGCCCCCACCGTGAGTTGAACTGCACTTGAACTTCATTTTCGCGCCGTGCTGATCGGAGGTGACAGACCAAGCAACAGTCAAAGGGGCAGCCTCTCTGAGCCTGGCCAAAACCAAGAAGACGTCGTTCGGTGGCTCTCGAAGGCATTTTACATCGGCTGCCCGGGCTGACCGCCACCATCAGCCAGGGGGCGGGACTCACCATTTGCTGCCGGAGGAACGGTAGCGAGGAGAGGGGCGGCGACGCCTGCGGCCCCGACGATGCCTGGGGCCCCGGCGGCGTGGTAGGGGGCGCGGACGACGGCGTGGGGGGCGCGGACGACGGCGTGGACGCGAACGCGTCGGGAATGGGGGCGCGCGCCAGGCCCTGCTGGCTGCCCTGCGTGTCCGTGTGGCACGAGGAGCCACGGCCGCTGTCGGCGCGGCCGTCTGCGGGGCCGCCAGCCACGAGACAGAGAGAGGGCGGGAGAGAGAGAGAGCGAGAGAGAGAGGGAGAGCGGGAGAGAGAGAGAGAGCGAGAGAGCGAGAGAGCGAGAGAGAGAGCGAGAGAGAGAGAGAGAGAGAGCGGGAGAGCGGGAGAGAGAGAGAGAGAGCGAGAGAGCGAGAGAGAGCGAGAGAGCGAGAGAGAGCACGAGAGCGAGAGAGAGAGTGGGAAAGAGAGAGAGCGAGAGAGAGAGTGGGAGAGAGAGCAAGCGAGACAGAGAGAGAGTGGGAGAGAGAGAGCGAGAGAGAGCGAGAGAGCGAGAGAGAGAGCGAGAGAGAGAGCGAGAGAGAGAGCGAGAGAGAGAGCGAGACAGAGAGAGAGCGAGAGTGAGAGAGAGAGCGAGCGAGAGAGAGAGCAAGAGAGCGAGAGAGAGAGAGCGAGAGAGAGAGCGAGAGAGAGCGAGAGAGAGCGAGAGCGAGAGAGCGAGAGAGAGAGCGAGAGAGAGAGCGTGAGGGAGAGCGAGAGAGAGAGAGCAAGAGAGAGAGACAGAGAGCGGGAGAGAGAGAGAGCGAGAGAGCGAGAGAGAGCGAGAGGGTGAGCGTGCAAGGGAGACGGGTGGACAGACAGACATACACACAGGCAGACGAGATCAACGATGCCGGTCAGGTTCGCTTTAAGGCCAAATTAAGTGTTGAAGGCTCACTGACAGGAGGTCACGGAACAGACCCAGCAGGTGCCGTGGGTTGACTGACTGAGATGACTAACAGATAGAGGCACCACCTTTGCTCCCCACTGTGCCAACTCTCTGCGTTTAAGCCGTCCGGCGCTCCACTCATTGTTGTGAGCGTTGCTCTCCCGCGATTGCCTCCAACGACCCAGCAGCATCCCTTACGAGCCTCCTCCAAAGAGGAGGAGGTCATTTTTTAATCAAAATCCGTGAAAGACGCCTGATTGTGCGACGTAAGGATCCGCGATATTCATATTGTCCAATTAGCAAAAGACCGTCGCATCACCACCGTCGAGGTTCATATAATTTCCCTTAAAAAGTGTAATACCTGACAAAAAGTTCACGAAATAACTGTAAACTAACATTGACAATTAATAATTACAGGTCCGAATAAACAGCCGTCACCAATTAGGTCAATGCCTCGCTCAATGTGCTACCGCAGCAATTGACGTCACGTGACGTAATCACTCGTCAGCAGTAGAGAGACAATGGCTGCTGGTGATGATGGTGGTGGTGGCAACGACGGTTAAAGGGGTTGGTGCCACTCAAAAGCTTTGCCAGCCCGTGGCCAGCGACCACCGCACGCAGCTAAAAACAGGGGCCTTGTATGTATATATATTTGCAAGTTGAACTTATTTCGCACCGTCCGTAGACAACCGGCGGTCACCACAGAACTTACACGACGGCGTCAGCGCCGCGTCCCGGTAACGATCGGCGTCCTGTTCGTCCACCTCGGCCGACGGGCCGAGCGCGAAATCTCCCATCTGCGTCCTGGCGGCCGGTGGCGAGGACAGGGCGGAGGCCCGGCCGGCGAGCCAGGCCTCGCGGGCTTGGGCATCGGCCTCCCTCTGCTGCTGCTCCTCCTCCTCGGCCTCGCGCCGCGCCTTTTCCCGGCGCGCCTTCTCCAGCTCGTCGCGCTTGCCCCGGAGGAGGGTCACGCGGTCCCTGATGGCCTTGGCGACCGTCTTCAGGTCGCTCTCGTGGATGATGCTCGACTCGACCTGCGGCGGGGTCGCGGAGAAAGGCGTTGTCCGGTGCTCGCCGAGCCGCCTTGGGCTTCCGGTCACCGAAACGAACGCGTTGCTATGAGGGTCGCGCTCGTAGCGCGCGCGCGCAAAGTGCTCGCCACAAATGAACGGCGAAAAGCCTTCGCTGTTCCCGACAAGGAGCATAAACCGTCGCGCGAACTCCGGTTCGTCCTCAGGAGCGGCGGAGGCTTTTGGGTGGCCATCGCACGGTCGTCACCGCGTCGCGCGGCGCTTTCAGACGCGCTTCAGCGGCCGAATGCAACGCTCCTCCTTCCGATGTTAGGAAGCCACTGGAGCTATGCACTTTTAATTCGTCTGGGTTGAAAACTATTTTTCTTAGAACTGCTTTTTGTGTTTAGTTTGTGTAGCCTTCCCCCGCACCTCCAATTAGCACAGTTGGCTACGTACGGTGCGAAAGAAGTTAGTCTTAAATCTCTGCACAAGGCCCACTGAGCGTCTCCCCCACATCTCCCCCACGCATCTCCCCACGGGTCTCCCCCACGTCTCCCTCATGCATCTCCCCGCGCATCTCCCCACGCGTCTCCCCCACGTCTCCCCCCGCGTCTCCCCCCGCGTCTCCCCGCGCATCTCCCCGCGCGTCTCCCCCCGCGTCTCCCCGCGCATCTCCCCGCGCATCTCCCCACGCGTCTCCCCCATGTCTCCCCCCGCGTCTCCCCCCGCGTCTCCCCGCGCATCTCCCCGCGCATCTCCCCGCGCGTCTCCCCCCGCGTCTCCCCGCGCATCTCCCCGCGCGTCTCCCCCCGCGTCTCCCCGCGCATCTCCCCGCGCATCTCCCCACGCGTCTCCCCCATGTCTCCCCCCGCGTCTCCCCCCGCGTCTCCCCGCGCATCTCCCCGCGCATCTCCCCACGCGTCTCCCCCATGTCTCCCCCCGCGTCTCCCCCCGCGTCTCCCCGCGCATCTCCCCGCGCGTCTCCCCCACGTCTCCCCCCGCGTCTCCCCCCACGTCTCCCCACGTGTCTCCCCGCGCGTCTCCCCCCGCGCGCCTTCTCACCATCTCCTGGGCCACCTGCTCCGGGATGTCAAAGTCGAGGTCGAAGCTGAACTCGACGGCCTCGTTGTCGCGGTAACGGCCCCGCAGCTTGCGCGAGTCCTCCACGCGCAGCCACAGCTTGATGGTCCTCCGCTCGCCGTCGTCCTCCTCCGCCAGCTCCACGCGCACGCCCGTGTCCTCCGCGAAGAATGCGTGCGCCAGAAGGTCCTTGATGGAGAAGCTGCGCGGGGGGAAGGGACGCACGCACGGGGAGGGGTGACACGATCGGTGGGGGAGGCCCCAAGCAGCCCAAGGGGTGGATGACACATGTAGGTCGCACCAAATTTGTTTCGATGCGCGCTGAACTTTCTTTCGCACCGTACGTAGCCAACCGTGCAAATCGGGGGGTGTGTAAGTTTCAACTCGAAGTCAGTTGCTGCAAATAAAAAAAATTCTAATAGCTCGTCATTATAAGTAGCACGACTGAAGTACAAAAATTGGAATTGGAATTAGTCTGGCAGCTTAATTTTTTCACAAGCGTGGCATAATTTGAAATGATACGAGGAAGTTGTGCAGCCCGTGCGGGATTGCGTAACCCAACGCCACGCGTAGTCCCAACGCATCCGATTGGCCGAGCCGAACGCAGTTTGTCGATTCACAGGTAGCCTGCGGTAGGGCACAGTGTGGGTACTCCCACGTCTCGCAAACCACGTCTGGTCAATGTGGAAGAGCGAAACGTTCAGCAGAGGCCGCGTTAAGAAGACTCCCCGCAACGTTACTCACATGTTTTATTTGACCGTGTAAAGCCCACTGAGCGATGCGCTCTTGTTCAGGGGCGACCTGGCCACACGTGGCAGCTCATCAAAGTGGCTGACATCGTCACATGCGGGAATGTATAGCAGCAGCCAGATCATCTCAAGCGGCGTTCTTCACTGATTTTCGGAGCGCGGCCACTTTCGCCAACAAGACATCAGTGTGAGGACCACCACACATCTGAAACCGCTGGGTTTCACCGCACGACGCTGGGGTGTGGTTTTCACATTTGCGTGTGTTGTCGGGAGCCGCACACCAGGGGCCGCACTATAGGCCACCAGGGGGCCCGCCAGTTGCAATGAAGAGCACTGCTCTAGACGCGTGTTCTTTCGAAATGTGGAAGGTGGCAATACCAGAGAGAACAATCCACACGAACACCGTGGTGAGAGAACACGCGGACTCGGAGTAGACATCCATAACAAGGGTGTTTGGGTAAGATCGCATAAGTATAATGTGTCGTAACCCTCCACCACCCGACACAGCCAGTAAGGTTTGTCACGTAAACAATGCGCCAATTAGCTACTCCTGCAGCCAACCGGTGTGTTGGAGAGTAAATCCACAACATTTACAATTTGAATACGTTTCGCTGGCAATTAGATTCAGCGTCATTGGGCGGTGGAGGGCTACGACACATCTAAACTTAAGCAATCTAACCCAAAAACCTTTATTACGAATAATATTGGTCGCAAAAGCCTACGTGTTAAACCAATATAAATGCATCGTTAAACTTGCCACCACCCGACACAGCCAATTAGTAAGGCTTGTCACGTAAACAAACCATGCCAATTCGTTACTAGTACAGCACACCGCCGTGTTAGGGAGCACACCCAGAACATTTACAATTCAAGTACGACGTTTCGCCAGTAATTACAACTAGCATCATCAGGCAGACAGCCAGATTCGTAATATAAAAGAGGCATCGTCAGGGGATCCGAGATCGAACCCACGTGCTCCGGCACACCAGGCCGGGGAGATCACATCTCCTCACCACCGCAGTGCTTGCCGGTGCGTACGTTACCGCTCGTCGCTGGTCTTGCGGATGCATCCTTCGATGATCTCCTTCACCTCCGGGAAGGCCACCTTGTCGAAGCTCGCAGGCTTCACCCCCTGTGGTGGCGGCAGCAGAGCAAACCACGCGGGCCACGTGACACGTGCATCGTTAAAAATAAATATGAAACGTTATTTCAATCATGAAATATCTCACCGAGTCCTGCACCACCGCCTGGCCACGTCACCGCCCATCAACAGGACCACCGACACAGGGCACCTGACCACAGAATCACCAGCACATCTGTCCATTGTATCCATCCACAAACCCGTCCCTTACTATACCAGCACACCGGACCTGTCCCACCAGCACATCTGTCCAATGTCCCATTCACAAACCTCTCGTCTCCCTTGTTGAAGTTCTATTGTACACATCATCATCATCGTCTGTCATCAATAATCACCATCATCATCACTTACTTACTACCACTACCACCACCATCATCACCACAGTAGACATCACATTTCCAACGTTGTCATTAGACGCATCACATTCATACTCTCGTTGTTCATCCATTGAGCTACATTGACTCATTTGTGAGCTCACCCTGTGGCCCCCTACACTGCGCTGTAATCCGCCATCTGTGTTTTTATTCTGCGTGCACTTTTGTTCATCATCATCAACATCGGCCATGATCGATCCACTGCTGGATGAAGGCCTCCGCAAAGTCTCCGCCGTCGCCACCTCTCACGATCCTGCGAAGGTTGTGATCCAGCCGGCATCCGCACACGACCTGATTTCATCGCTCCATCTTCCCTGTGCACGCCCACGCGGCCAATTCGTTCCATTCCGTGGCTGCCACTCCTTTATTACTCTTGACCATCGGCGATTATCCAAGACAGCGCCACCATGTCCTGTCCATGTCCGCTAGTTCACCGAGCCCTATTTATATTCTGTACTCCAATTAGCACGGTTGGCTACGTACGGTGCGAAATAAGTTCGACAAGCACATATACGTTGTTACTTATTTATTTTTCGTGACTTGCTTACCTTTTCTCAATTTTGCACTCCGGTTTTTTTTGTATGGTTTGTTGTTGCAACTTGCTGACCCCCATGCCCCTACTAAACACCTGTGAAAAAGAGCTTCATAGCTCACTAGATTCTTCCTCCTGCAGTCCAAACAAAGGTTCTGATCCCATTTGCACGTGTGCTGCATTGTCGACAAGATACGAATGCACGGAAGCTTTATCTGAAAAAAAATATACTTCTAGATTTGAAGCTTTCGTGACTGCAAAGATTCATACTCTTTGGTTTTTTTGTGACTTTACCGAAAAAAACAAAGAAAATATATACTATTTTGGTGCGGTGTTTTTTTTGTTATTGTTACGATCGGTTCACCTTGGAAAAATGTAAATTCCAGTTTTTTTACAGCGTCATAAAGCCGTGGCTTGGCTGCGATAAGTTTTGCAGTGGGTGGCAAAGCAGGGGGGGGGGGGGGTTGGCTTTCAAAATTGTGCCGTGGCTGAAAAACATGCAGAAATAAATGCCTGGCACGACTGGAAGGTCACATTGGGGTGTCGAAGCGCTGAGTTAATAACCTTCATTAGGAAATAAAAGGCGACCTGTTTTAACTGGAGGCAGTGAGAAGGCTCTAACGCTTTAGTTGATTGCCTACCTGGTCCCGGGTGGCAACCGATGTGAACGCGGCATGAAAGGGAGCCCAACGCAGCCAACGAAGCCATTCGCGGCCACGGTAGACCGTGAAAGCGGTGCTCTTCATTGCAAGGCCCGCGGGAGTCACTGTGCGGCCCCCCCCCCCTTGGTGGCCTTTAGTGCGGGCCCCTGATGGGCGCCCCCCCATCCCCACCGACGATACACAAGATGTCAGAAACCCTCATCATCAAAGTGGTGTGGCGGCCCCTCGTGCACTATTTCACTTCACCAAAAGTTTGCTTTTGTGTAACAACATTCAACACCATCCCCACGTCCCAACCCCCCCCCCCACTCCCCGAATAATATTCATAATAACGTCGTGTTTCTCTGCTTGGATCGGTTTGCTGTGATGTGTTTCTCTCTCACTTTATAATCGAGGTGTTTGCTCTCGAGCGGCAGGGCCCTGGGTTATTGATGCCGAAGTGGCTTTGCTAAGCAGCCTCCGCTCCGGGAAAGTGTTCGTAAACCTTTATGATCCACGAAGCCAATTGTGCCCTTGCGGCGGCTTGGCGCAGGCGTATCTGGGCCTCATTGAGCGAGGAGCGTTCACCTCGTGACTTGCTGTCAAATATCTGCTGTTGGGAAAACTGTTCACGTCGATTCTAACTGTTTCTTTCGACTACATTTAAAAATATATATTTGTCGACAGCAGTGGAAATGAAGCGTTAATAAATAAGTACGGATCACCAACTATGTGAGTCAATGGCTCTCTGTCCACTCTCTGCTCTGAAGAAGGCCCATCGCCTGGAACATCTTTTTATCTCACGTGACAAGCCACTTCGTTGTTCTGTCATTTGTGGACAGGGCGCTTCTGAAAAAGAAGCCAATTTCTCAGTGGGCTTTAAACTGGTAAGATATTTTTTTTTAGTTTAATTTGTCTATTTTGTTTAAGTGATTTGTTTACCTTTCCTATACTTTGCACGCCTATCGTGATTTTGTCATGTTTGTTATTGTAGCGTTCTGACCTGCCCCTACCTGGACATCTGTGAAAAAAGAGCTTTATAGCTCATCGGATTCCTCCAGTATAAATACATGTTCTGATTTTGTTTTATGTACAGCCCTTTGTCAATTCACTGCTGCACGAAATCCACCCAACACTTTCCGGTGGTCATGCAGGTCGTGTGACCATACTTCACCACTAAACTCCGGCGACGCATGGTGAAGAGGATGGCACGGGAATCGAACTTGGGTCGCCGGGTTCATCGCTCAAAATCTAACCGCTGTGCAAACGGTGCACCCTGAAACACTCGCCTAAGCTATGCCTCATTCCGTTATACAGCGGCGTCGACGACAAACGAGGTAATTATTGATCAGTATTGACTTCCTAGTAATCTTTTCACAGTTAAATAATTCCAAGACAGAGTTAAACATTTGGTCTCTGACAATGGCACACGTTGGTCGCTTTTATAACCAACAAAAAAAAATCTATGTTTTAATCTACCAGGTGAGGCTCACTGAGCTGCATAGCTATTTTTACAGAAGCGACCTGGCTACAAATGACAACTCAACGAAGTGGTTTATCACCATGTGGAAATATATAGCAGCCAAATACTCTAAACGCGTGTTGATTCTAAATGTGGTGTGAAAACCCGGAGTACCTGGAGAAAAATCCATGCCACTGCGGGGAGAACATGCAAACTCCAAATATACAGAAATCGAACTCACGACGTCCTGTATATAAGGCGAGGTAAAGTAGTGAATTATTTGTCTTTTGTCAACGTGACACTTTTTTTGCTGATTGGCCGTGTCGGGTGGTGGAGGGTTACGACACATTTATAAATAAACGCGATCTAACCCAAAAACCTTTATTATGAATTATTATGGACACTGTGGGTGTTTCATGATAGTCCTTACACACTTTGGAGATGCCTCTTGGTCAAACACAGAACCACACACGCGTCATACATTATCACGTCGCCCTGTCACTCAACCACCCCGGAAGCCATCGCACATCTGAACATATCGGCTGTTTGCATGCCGAGAAGAACATTTAATTAATCTACGTGGCGCTCAAATGTATTTAATTAAATTCAGAGAAATCACAATGACAGAGAATGTAAATACATTTCGCTTAGTTTAATGCTTAAAGGATTAGGGTCATGTTTCTGGATTCTCTGCCAGCCTGCCCTCTCCAATTACCTGGTCCCGTTCAATTAAACCATGAGTACAGCGCGGAGGACACACGTTCACACACAGCTGTGTGTGTACACGCACAACTGTGTGTGTACGTGTTGTGAGATGCCAGCGTAGGGCGAGCGGTTAGATCCCTACACTGCGAGCCCGGCGACCGAATGCGATTCCCGCTCACGGCTAACGTCGGTGACCAATATCTGATCGGGTCCTGGGCCTTCCCTAGGTCGACTCGGCCTTAAATGGGTACCCGGTGTGACGTGTAAACATCGCCACTGGGGAGACAGAGGCAGCCGCCCATGCCCCCGTGTGCCGTGCCGGTCTTAATAGGTGCTCACTAACAACACTTGCCCCAAAACTCTGTTAAAGGCTACAGGGGAGGAACGTTGTCTTTGTATATGATACCAGCACCCAGCACAAGCTTAGGTTTCCACTGCAATCACTGGCACTGCATCGCCACAGAAATATACACAGCAGACTGACGTTTCGGGCAATGACCATTATTCAGAACAGAGAGAGAGCCGAGCTCAGAGAATGACTTATGATTATTTTGTCGATGTAATGACGACGCATCGATCCGTCGACTGAAACCCGTTCAGCCCGTGCCTGAGTACCAAATCGACATGGGAAATTTCCACATTCCCACAGTGGGAGCCAGTTCATCCACTTGACGACCACGGTCAGCTCCTTACACAGTGGTAGCCCTTGCTCTCGACCCCAGAGAGACGAGGATGACGACAGGCTGAGTCAAATTCGCGACCTTCCGACATAGAGTTGGGCAATCTGCGAACAAGCGCCACTCAGCCAAACAATATCGCTGGCATGTCAACTCTGCGTTTGTTCTCCTCGACCTTCCTCCTTTTGTCCTCTGCCTAAACGTCGGTAGCTCTTTGGCTCAGACGCTCTTCACGCTGTCCAGAGCGCCGCTGCGGACAAATAGTACGAGAGGAGGGCCGCAGACGCTGATGCAGGGCAGACCCAGAACGATCAATAATAATAATGATTACAATACATGTAACAACAAACCTGGCGAGACGCCCACAGCGGGTACGAGTCACTCACCCACTCGAGTCTTCTGCAGCAGCAGCGGCAGCAGCAACAGCAGCAGTGAGGGCTGACGAGCAGGACAACGGGCCCGCACGTGCTGCCGCTCTCTCTCGACGCGTCCATGTCACGAATCACACCGCGAAATGCTGAATTTGTCCGCACGGCGCGGCGCTCAGCAGGGAATAAATGCTGACCCTGGTGGTGCCCTGAGCCCACCATGAAGATATCT